TGGGTGTGGGTGAGGTGTGGGTGTGGGTGTGGGTGAGGTGTGGGTGTAGGTGGGTTTCAACAAGTAATCTACACCCACACCCACCCACATCCACACCCATACACCCCACACCCTATTTCCGTGGTACAAAGTACCATAGTCATGGCGCAAGTGATCATTTTCGTGGTACAAAGTGCCATAGTCATGGCACAAGTGACCATTTTTATGGTACAAAGTGCCATAGTGGTGGTACAAGTAACCGTTTTCATGATACAAACTACCATAGTGATGGTACAAGTGACCATTTTCGTGGTACAAAGTACCATAGTGATTGTACAGGCGACCATTTTCGTGGTACAATGTAACGTAGTCGTGGCACAGTGTAAGATAGTCGTGGCACAAATGACCATGTATTTGACACAATTGGTCACTTTCATTATACAATTGACTTTTGCTGTGGCGTATTCACCGTTTTCATGACACAATCAATTGTTTCTATGGCACAGTTGACCATTCTTATGGCTCAAATGAGCATTTCTGTGTCACAATTGACCATGCTCGTATTAGAAATGGCCATTACTTGGACATAATTCACCCTGTTTTTGTCGTTTTAATTAATTAAAGCATGAATGTTATCATATATATTAGCATGTTTCAATATTTTGTGTGAACTATTTACATAAACCGACAGTATGTAGTATTGAACATGTTACAAATATTAATAATTTATCCTAAACGCATCATTATACAGAATTGATTTTTTTTTAAATAGAAGGACATCTTGATCATTATTCTGTCAGTCTGGGGCCAAGGGAATCGACATTAAATGTCGATGAACGTTACTTGTTCTTATAAATCTTCAATATGTAAAGTGTTCATCTATGTTGAAAGAGAGTTGATCCTGGCATCAGATCGCTTCTAACATTATATTTTGCCCACATGTACTGACGAGGGAAGTACCCCAACTGTCAAATCGCTTTCGAGTCGGGAGTATATAAATAATGTAGGTTCTAATGAGCTATGAATAGCCTGAAAAGTGTTCGTGCTGCTAGCTTATTGCTGCCGAGATATTGCATTTTTAAGGTATTTTTAAATAGAAAGCCGTAGTCCCCCTCAGGAACGCGAGGAAAACTGATTTTCGAATTTCGACTTGAAACTTTGCAGATAGATAGGCTTCATTGAGAATAGTTTACTGTGAAAGCTTCAAATCTTTTGGTTATTCCTATGCTAAGATACAACTATAATAAAAGTGTGCTGTTACATTGCCTATATACATCGACGAATTCCGATGTTCTTATTTCAGACTAGGAGCAATCAAAAGATTTTAAACTTTCACAGTAAACTATTCTCATTGAGGTCTATCTATGTGGAAAGCTTCAAGTCGAAATTCGAAAATCAGTTTTCTTCGTGTTCCTGAGGGGGTGACCATGGCTTTCTATTTAAAACCACCGTAAAAATGCAATATCTCGGCAGTAATAAGCTAGCAGCACGAACCCTTTCCAGGGTATTCATAGTTCATTAGGATCTACATTATGCACACACTCCCGACTCGAAAGCGATTTGACAGTTGGGATACTTCCCTCGTAAGTAGAAAATGAAAATTTATTAGTTTTTAAATCATCTTGATTTGCATTATTAGAACATTTCCAAGACATTATATTTTACCTGTAACAAGATGTAGCACATTGTCTCTTGTAATGTTATATATACCAAGTCCAGATAAATTAGAATAATTTCCAGAATGAAGAATACGTTTCCTAGATGATGCTTCAAGATTAAACTATTTGATTTTATGCTCAATACTAGGCAAGATATGCAAACAAAATCGATCAACTATTGGATTAGGTAATGAAGGGATACAATTAAACGAGAAATATTTCAATAGTGTCAAAGTATTTGTAAAAATATGATCATGTAAAATTTTATCCAATTGTTTATTGACGCCAATTAAAGAATAAAGCAATGAGACATTATCGAGTTTTTTTGAACATAATCAGAAGAATTTCGTCAGGTAAATCATTCAATTGAACACATGAAGATTCCATATTTATCTATATGTATGTTTATTTTTCTTAACTTCTTACGGTCAGAAATTATCTATTTATATATGTTCGTTCTATCTGACTGATTTCGTCAATGAAAACAATGATATATTTTGTTTAATTATGTAATAGACAATAAACGAATGAATGAAGGAGATTATTTCTTTTTTTTATGTTTATTCTTCATATTTGATGAAAAATTTCTGAGTTAGTGCATATAAAGAAGATCAAATATAATAATGGGGTGTGGGTGTGGGTGTGGGCGTGGGTATGGTTGCGTATGGGTGTGGGTACAGATCTTCAATTCAGCCATACCCACACCCACCCACAGCACACCCGCCCATAGCACACCCACCCACACCCACCCACACCCACCCACAGCCACCCACCCACACCCACCCACAGCACACCCACCCACCCACCCACACCCACCCATACCCACCCCCCGCACACCCACCCACACCCACCCACAGCACACCCACCCACAGCACACCTACCCACACCCACCCACGCCCACCCACGCCCACCCACAGCCACACTCCACACCCACACCCACACCCACACCTACACCCATACCTCACATCCACCCACACCTCACATCCACACCGACACCTCACACCCACACCTCACACCCATACCCTTCCAGAGAAACGAACGACAAGTTTTAGCTAGTGTGGTGCGTCTCAAGCATCCCTTTCTCTCGGTATTACTCAGGCAGTCAACTAAACGACAAAAACGATGTTTAAACACGTTTATAACCAAATCGTTTAAAATTTTTGATATGTTCGGAAAAACACGTTAAATGTAGTTTAGAAAAGAACTTTTTTTAAACGGGGTGTGGGTGTGAGTGTGGGAGAGTTTGCATGTAGTTGTGAGTATTCTCGTCACTTACACCCACATCCTTAATGAATCTTACTGAGCGTATTCATGTTTATATATAGACAACAAATAGTTAATAAAATGATTTATAATACATCGTTTTTCATAGGAAATACACTATCGAATCAATAATTTACGAGTTCTTTTGAAGTTTCTCGAGTGCCTCTTTGTAATATAATAAATGTGGATGTTGTTCAGGCAAATTGCTTTGGGCAATTTCAACAGCGAGTTTTGCATGCTCGATTGCCGAAGAATGCTCTTGATTAGCATGATAATTTTGAGCCAAACTATGATGTATCACAGCCAAGTCAGAATGCATTTTTGGAAGTAGTTTTTCACGAATTTCCAGTGCCTTCTTATAATATATCAATGCAGATGAATAGTCTTGGCTTTCTCGAAGAATTTCGCCCAGACTGATGTATGTCGTAGCAATTTCCAATCTATTACACGACGCATTTTCTTGAATGTCAAGTGCTTTTCGAAGAAATGACATAGCTTGTTCGTAGTGACCAAGTAAACGATGAATATCACCGATGTGACTGTATGTAGCAGCTAAATCTGGATGTTGGGAAGGAAGTGTACGTTCACGAATGTCAAGTGTTTTTTGATAAAAATTCAATGCTGTTGTATAATCGTTCATACTTTGATATACTTTTCCTAAGGCGTGGTACGGATAGGCATACATTGGATTATCAGTATCCAATGGCATATTCTGAATTTCGAAACAATGTTTAAGAGATGATAGTGCCGCTGGATAATTGCCCATGTTATGATTGAGTACACCAATGTTGTAGTAGCAAGATACCAAATTGTAATGATTGGATGTAAGCATCTTTTCTTGAACTTCGATTGCTTTTTCAAAACATGAAATGGCTGTCGAATATTCACTCTGACAACAATAAACATTGCCCATATTGATGTACCCAGCAGCGATATCTGGATGATTGGATGGCAAACATTTCTTCTTGATTTCCATTGTTTTCTCAAAAAAAGAAAGTGATTTTGAATGATCGCCCATGGCTAAGTATACTTCTGCGATGCTGTCATAAGAAAAAGCAAAATTCGGATCATTAGGGGAGAGAGATTTTTGTCTCATCTCTAGTGCTTGCTCATAATATGATAAAGCTTTCATGTAATCTCCCATGTGCTTGTAAACCTCGCCCATGTTGTTATATGATGAAGCTGTATCTGGATGATTGGGCGGAAGAGATTTTTTCTGTATATCGATTATTTTGTCATAATATTCGAGTGATTTAGTAAATTGCCCTAGCTTTAAATATGCCACGGCTATACAGTTGTAGGACTTGGCTAAATCAGGATGATAAGCAGGGAGTGATATTTTCTGGATTTCAACCGATTTTTCATAAAACAACAGAGCTTGCATATAATTCGCAAGATTGAAATACACCAAACCAATATTGTTGTATGTAGAAGTTAAACGTGGATCATTTAGTGAAAAGATTTGTTGTTTTATCTCTAAAGCTTTTTCATAAAATGATAGTGCTTTTTGATAATCACCTGTGCTGGAATACACCAAACCGATATTGTTATAAGCAGTAGCTAAATCGTAATAGCTTGGTGGATCACTTTTTTGGAAGATCTCCACAGCCTTTACGTAGAATGAAATTGCTTTTTGATACTCGCTTTGAGAATATAGAACTAATCCGAGCATATAATAATAATGCGCATTCCATTTCTCATCGGTGGTGTTTTCGATTAGCGTTCGATAGAGCTCTTCTGCTTTGTCGTATTTGCTGAGTTTGATCAGCACTTGTCCAAGACGAGTCCATCCAGTCGATCCAGTATTCTCTGCTCGCAAACAATTAATAAGTGCAGCAAATGATGGGTCGCTATCACTATCAGACAGCGTAAGTTTCACTTGCCATAGACCTTGATTAATGCCGTCCATTTCTTTGATCTCATCAATACGAAAGACACTGTTCATAGAGAAGAGTATTTCTCGTTCGGCTTCAAAGCAGCTGACTTGATCGATCAAGGCGAATGGCGCTGTCGTAGGCCCCGTTGTTGCCGGATTGATCGTCATGACGAACATCACAGGTATTTTATCAGCTTTAGCACGAACCTGCTGAATAAATTCTAATGCTACTTGTTGCTGTTGACTTGTAGAAAGGAAATTATTGAAGGACATTAGCCCTCCTACAGTATTCTTCAGCTTACTAAAGTTTTCTTCCGATAATCCCTGGCCACGATAAACAACAGATGAGGTGGGTGTATTATGGTCAGACGACGATTGTTGTTGACCATGCAGTTTCACGAGATCTTGATGGAGATCACGGATGAAGAAGCCCATCTTGAGAATGGTGTCTACTTCGAGAAGACCCAATGCGCGATTGAGTGTTCGATAGAGAAACGAACATTCGAATGTGTACCACCAAATAGGAGTATGATCATGATAACCATGTTCGAATTGTTCTATCTTGTTTAACTCAGTTGCGTTCGTGGTGCATCGACTTCGAGAAAAGTTCACAAATTCTAGGATAGACTGTGATTCTTCGAAATTTATTTCTAGTAAAGCCTCTTTCAACAGTTGAGTGTATAAGAATGTCGGATCGAGTTGAATGATATTTTGATTTGATGATGCTTCACAAGTAGGAAGAAAGCTCACTGATACAGAGTTTTGATCAGCGACGTGTATTGCTTGTCGTAGGCCATCGCAAATAGAATCTATCTGAGTGAAAACGCCTTTCACTTTGAACCAATCGTTTATCCACTGTTCATGACAAATTTTGTCCTCACAGAAGATGAAGATGGAATCTAGCTGAAGCAAGTCATGCACGAGTGGAACAACAGTTTGACTTAAAGCACCCGACACAATCATAAAGATTTTTTCATCCTGAATTGTTTTTAGATAGCTAACACAATCATCAGCATCAGTGTATGTATCAATCGTATTGACAATAGATTGTAGTTGAGCAAGTGAATCACGAAATTCTTGAGTTTCATCAATATTGGCGTCTAACCATACTAGAAAATAATTTTCCATTATACGTCGTCTACCATTCCTCTGCCGCAATGGCTCTATCACTGTGGTAGCCTACGTAAAAAATTCAAACATTATATCAATGATTTTAAAATTTTGAAATTTATTCGTAAAATTTTGTAGACACACTTTTCCAATTATTTAAAACGGCATTAAAAAACTGCAATTACGAATTGAATCTGATTGATCATGAGTCACATACAGAATGATCCATCAAATATTTGTATTTTTCATTTATACTTACAGAAACCTTTTGTGATGTAGATATTTGTTCAACTTCCCGACTATCGGCAGTTCTATTAATAATTTCTTGTTGTGTATTCTCATACATGTTTGATGTGTGCCTACAAATAAAATTAATGCAATCTTAAACGCAATAAAAACAAAATAGTGCAATCGTTACTATTTATATGTCATGTATTTATGCAGCTTTATTCGTCATATTTTTTGTCGTAGTGATACACCAACGTGTGTCATTTCTATTTAAAGAGTTGTTGTGACGACAGCAGGTGAGAATGATCAAGCATTCATGCATAACCAAGCAAGAGAACGAGCAAAAGTATGCATGACGTTTGCTTTTCATATAACTATATACTTTTGATGGATTCGTTTATACGATACCTACCATAGCACAGTCGATGAGTCATTCAAATAAGTTGCAATACAATCATCAAAGTTGCGATATAGTGTTACTTGTTTTTCCAATGCCACTATTTTTTTACAACGATCATGTTTGTATATGAGCGTGTTCAGTCAGCTTGATACCCCTAGTATAATTGTTTATGTAGCTTCAACCGATTATCATAAAATTGTGACTTTTTTATCATTTGTAGTATACATATGTCAGCGTCCAAACTGAGATTACGTCCAATCTCAGATTGGCCTAGGCGAATGTCGGATCCGAGATTGGACGCGTCCAATCTCGGATTGACGCAATTCTGTTCATTAAAATATCAATTACCCTTTAGACAGACCTTGGATTCGAACTATTTGGTGTTGGTGTGGGCGGGTGTTGGTGTGGGTGTGAGTGTGGGTGTGGGTGTGTTTGGTGTGGGGTGTGAGTGTGGGTGTGGGTGTGTGGGCGTGAGTGTGGGTGTGTGGGTGCGGGTGTGGGTGTGTGGGTGCGGGTGTGGGTGGGTGTTGGGTGTGGGTGGATGTGAGTGTGGGTGGGTGTGGGTGGGGTGTGGGTGTGGGGTGTGGGTGGGTGTGGGTATGGATGTGGGTGTGAGTGTGGGTGGGTGGGTGTGGGTGTGTGTGGGGGTTGGTGGGGGTGGGGGTGGGGTGTGGGGGTGTGGTTGGGTGTGGGTTTGGGTGTGGGTTTGGGTGTGTGGGTTAGAGGTGAGAAAGTTATTGTTATTTTTTTGTTATTAATAACAATAGCATTAACGGTTTTTTTCGAAAAAATCAATGAAATAAGTCTAAGTATAGTTTGTACGAACGTCAAAGGATTACTTTATTCATATAATATCTTTTCCTACCATTTGATATGAGAACTTGCCGTAAATATTATGAGAAATGCTAACATAATGCAATTTGTTATTGTTATTGCTATATAACAATAACAATAACAAATTATGTTGTGTTACTGTTTCTCAAAATCTTTACGACAAGTTCTTATGTCAAATGGTAGGAAAAGATACTGTATGAATAAAGTGATCCTTTGATGTTCGTATGAACTATGCTTAGATTTTTTTCATTGATTTTTTTGAATCAAATGGCTAATGTTATTGTTATTAATAACAAAAAAATAACAATAATTTTCTCACCCCTAGTGTTGGTGAGCGTGGGTGTGAGTATGGTGTGGGTGAGGATGGAGTGTGGGTGTGCGTGCCTTGGTCTTGACTTATACACACTCACACCCACAGTCACACACCCACATCCTTCTAAAACAAGAGTCATTCCAGAAGATTTTCATACATCTGAGAATAATTTTTAAAAATAAAAATATTCTAATAATCGAGAAATGTTTGAAAACAAAAATTCCAGGTTCAATTTCATAATGAATTATCGAAGGATGAACTAATAAACAATGAATTCGCATGTTTCTATGTGGCTCAAACTTTCGGAGTACTATGATTGTTTATTCAAAACTACTAACATCTGTGGAATCAGCATAGAAAACTAAGTCGATTTTCTATATATATATTTCTAAGTTTTTCGACGAACTTTTGTTCTTGACAAATTCATCTGGATCGAGTCAGTGAGACACAAAATAACAAATAAATAAACAATAAAAATTGTGTATTTATTAAATTTATTTTGTTGACTAATCTTTCAGAAAAAACTCGACTGAATTTTTCGAGCAGAAAAAGTTCAAAGACAAATTTTGAAATATATAAGTCCACTCAGCTTTTTATGCAGATTCCAAATATGTTATTAGTTTTGACTCAAATCGTACCTTTTCCAACCGGTACCTATTGAAGACCGGTGAAAAATGCATGACAATTGTGTCTAAACGAACCTCAAAGTCTTTTTAAACAAAAGCCACTTCTGAATTCAGTTTTTCAAAATCAAGCAAAAATCCATGATGTCTTTTTCCTTTAATCGAAATATTGAGAAAACAGTCAGCAGATTAAGTCGTTCGAGGCGAAACTTTTATCAGAAATAGACTATAGAATGGGTAGTCGATTGACATCATTTTCAGTTGAAAATGTATTAGTGTGGAAATATTTATGCGAGTCCCTGTTCCATGAATAAATTATCCATTTATCTGCTTTAGATAACTCATAAACAGAGGAAAACTGAGGATGGCTCAAAAACAGTCCTTATCTGTCTCGGGCCTTTCTCGTTTCTTATAAAGAACGCTTGAATAGAAATTTCTATGTCAGGTCCTACTGGATGTGTAAATCCGTATCATTCGTCAACTTCCTGGCTGCAACGATAAGGTAAATATTCTTCAATAGTTGTTCAAAATTTAATCTATTTTATTCTTAGGTCGGTATCCACCTCAACAACCTCAAGGCAATGTATGACACTTTATGATTGACAAAAGTCTGTGAGAAGCTTACTTCGTTTGTCAACCACCAGGCTAGTGCTTTTCTTCTTCATATATAATCAATGTTTTATTTCTTTGTTTTTTTCTTACAGTTGGTGGGTATAATGCAAATAGATATGGATCGTCAGCTAGTAAGTTATTTTCTAAGACAAAAAAAGAAGATTGAATTGAAATAACATATTTAGTAAATGATCGTCTTCGAGAAATAGCTGCTCAATATGAAATAAATGATACACTCACTCAACATCTTAATATCCTTCAACAATTCAAAATAGTTCTATTTTGTGATGATTCAGATTCAATGAATACACTAGTTGATGAAACAACAGGTACTCGATGGGATGAATTACGATCTATTGTACGAATAGTTATTGAATTTGGCACTGTATTTGATTCAAATGGAGTTGATGCACATTCTCTTAATCGTCCATCAATACCTAATGTAACTGATACACAACAAGTCGTGAAATCATTTAGTCAACGTTCAGCTGGAGTAACACTACTTACACGAGCTTTAAGACGAATTTTTCAATCGATAGCAAGTAAACCTGGTAGTGATAAACGTTTACTTGTATTTGTAGTTACAGATAGAGTTCCAACAGATCGCAATGGAAATGTTGATGTACAAAGTTTAGAAAATTTAATGTGCAATGAACGTCAAGGAAATACAACATATGTAACATTTGTTTGTACAGATGATGAATCAAGTGTGGCTTATTTATCAAAATGGCATCTTACAATGATGAATTTTAATGTTGTTGATAATTATACAACTGAAAGAGAAATAGTACGCCGTACTCGATGATATAAATATCCATTTTCATTTGAAGATTATGTTTCAAAAGCATTACTTAGTGCAGTTGGTCTATAAATGCATCTTTTGGATGAATCGGGAAATCATAATAATAATAATTTTTGAAGGTGTCAGTCTATTATTCACTTTACGTCATCTTTTGTCTTTTGTTAAAAAAACTGGTCAACCAAAAAAAAGGTTGTTTTCTTAAAAATAAATAAATGAATGTCATAAATTTTCTTATTATAATATGAATTAAATCTTTCTTTCTTTCTTTTTTGTTACTGACTGTTAAAGATGTTTTGGACTTATATCTTTGATTTGTAAACATCGATTTTTGAGTGTCTACGTGATTGTCTACTGAAATAAGACAGATAGTTTTTCAAATCAAGGATAGTTTTAATAATGACGCTTTTGCTTAATATTTTAAGCGATAAGAAATATTTACAAAAAGAACTTTGTGTCAACACGAACCCATGTAAACACCAAACGCAAAATACACGCATCCCACCGCGGTTTTATTGTAAACTGCGTTCAGACGTGGCTAAAATCGATTTTTACTGCGTCTAGACGCGATTTTATTGCAACCGCGTCCAGACGCGGTTAAAGAAAGCTTCCAAGCGCGTCTTGGCGCGTTGGTAAATGAAATCGCGTTTGCACGCTGTGAAAATCGTTTTTTTAACCGCGTTTGAATGCGACTGCAGATCAAACACGTCTAGACGCAGTCATAAAAAATTTTGAATCGCGCTTGAGCGCGGTTTTCTATGAAACCGCGTGCAAACGCACTCCCATATAAATAAAAATCACAAGATAGCCGCGTTCAAACGCGGCTTTGTTATAAACTGCGTCCAGATGCGGTTAAAAACAACTTTGCAGTGCGTCTAGACGCAGTTAAGAAAATGTTCAAAATGCGACTAGACGCAATTTTACATAAAAGGCATCTAAATGCAATTGAAAAAGAATCTAAACCGTGTCTAGGCGTGTTTAATGCTTCAGCTGCATCTTGATGCGGCTGGAACGTTTTTGATGATTGTGTCCAGACGTGTTTGCACTCTAAAAATATTCATCAATTGTCTAGTAAATTTGTTCAGACGCTGTTCTAGCTCGAAAGAGTATGAATGCAAAAAATATGGTGTTGAAGACAGAATTAAGAGTAAAAGCCATCAGAACGCGTTTAAAAATTTTTTTCAACAGGCGGACGGATATGTATCTTTCACGAGAAACACATAATTCAGCTAGAATACACTGATGGTATGTGTCTGATTCATTGAAATTTCATTGAATATTTTAAAGGTAAAAAAATTTTCGACACGCGTAGAAATGGAGAAAACGCAATCATGTGCAAAATAGAAATAAAACATAGGCTATTGCACAATTTTAATAGATAGTAGATGAAATTGCTTATACCGATCTTCCAGCCCACCCATGATTTTTAGCCCATCTTACGAATAACACTGATTAAATTGTATGATAATAAATGATCATTATAATTCCTCTATATAGTACAATATTGTTTTTTAATTGTAGTATTTTGAATAAAATTATCCGTGATATTACAATTGTAATATTATTTTAAAAAAAATCTTGAATATAATTATGATCAGAAGAAGGCAAAAAATCTGCCATTGCATTTTAAACTGTTAAATTTGTAAGAAAAAAATTACATGAAGCGTCGTATATTTTGCATAGGTAGAAGTACATGTTACTGCGCTGATGAATTTAAATAGTAACTAGAGGCCTCTGTGAAGGGTTGAACTCAAGGGGGAAAAGCGGGACTCCTGGAGTGCGTACTCCCATTGTACTATCCTGTTCTTTCACTGTACCCCCCTGTACCTCCTCTGTGCTTCCCTGTATTTCCACTGTACTCCCCTGTACTATACTGTACCTCGACTGTGCTCCCCTGTACTTCCACTGTACTGCCCTGTACCTCCACTGCGCTCCCCTGTACTTCCACTGTACTCTCCTGTACCTTCACTGTGCTCCCCTGTACTATCCTGTACCTTCACTGTGCTTCCCTGTACTTCCACTGTACTATCCTGTACCTTCACTATGCTCCCATGTACCTCCATTGCGCTCCCCTGTACTTTCACTGTACTCCCCTGTACTATCCTGTACCTGCACTGTGCTCCCCTGTATCTCCACTGTACTCCCCTGTACCGTCACTGTGCTCCCATGTACCTCCACTGTTCTCCCCTGTACTTCCACTGTACCTCCACTGTGCTCCCCTGCACTTCCGCTGTACTCCCCTGTACCTCCACTGCGCTCCCCTGTACTTCCACTGTACAGCCCTGTACTATCCTGTACTTCCACTGTACTCTCATTATATTGCGGAAGTACGGGAGTCTTGCCTTTTCCCCCTTGGTTGAACTTTAATATTATCGGAAAAATTTAATATTATAGGAGAAATTGATTTAATTTACATAAGAAGTTCCTGAATGAAAAATATAATATAGATGACGGACATATATATGCATAATGAATGGACATATACGACGCATATCTATATCTATATATAATGAATGAACATATACGACGTACATATATATGTATATTTTTTTTTCGTTCTCTGACCAATCATATGAAAGTTCCTGAAGAACTGAAAACACTTGTACATTATAATATAGATGTGAAGATTCAAATACATTTCATCTTGAACGAGAAAACATTTCGAGCTAGTATAGCTCAGTGGTGCATATGTACGACTTCTGATCGATGGTTCACTTGTTCAATTCTGACTTTCATCGCTTAAGGTAAAAATTCAATTCATTCGCCAAAGTAGGCTAAGACCATCACGGTATGACATTGATGGCGCCTCAGCTCGAATCTGAGATGAATTGATATTTTATTTTTTAATTTTTTTAATTTCAATTGGAACGCGTCTGGACGCGGTTATTCCGATCGCATCTAGACGCAAGAAATGTTTCACTGGAGCCGCGTTTTGAAACAAGATCGCGTCCAAACGCGACCCAAATATGAACGCGTTCAGACGCGTTTCTGAAATTGTTATATCTCTTATTTTCGAATGACGACAGAACGGAAAAAAAGAATCGCCCTTCGCATGGAATCGAACCATGCACCTCCTGCTTACCGGGCAGACGTATTAACCACTGTACTAGAAAGGGTATCTCCTCTCCGTCTTACGATTGTATGGGAACAATACGATCGTAACAGAAATAAATCGCGACTAGATGCAAGATTTGTTTCACTGGAGACGCAGTTCTTGCGTTTCTCCTTTGAATTTCAAACGCAACGAATCGTGTTTCAGACGCGTTTTTAAGGCAAAAAATATTTACATGGGAAGCGTATTGAGAACTTCTGGTTGACTTAAAGGCTTTTATACTAAAACTCAAGAAATACGTCATGATAACATAGTTTCTTTTTGTTTTCAGAATTAAATTTCAATGATAAGAAATGCGCCACAGAAAATCTATCTTGCAATATACGAAAAGTAATGTAATTGATATTATATGAAAGTAAAGAAGTTCTATTCATACATGTTAGTGGTACTAATAGTTCTCTATATCTATGCACATATCAGTATTGATGAAATGAAAATGGAAACGGGTATGAATAATTAAGCTATTCACTGAATCATGTTTGGATCGCTAAAACTAAGAAAAAATTATCGCTTGGCAAATATTCATCTTGCTGAATGAATCAGAAAAGGTCAAGAAGACTGATGAGCATAATTTGAATCAAGAACATAGCAATTATGTAAAGTAGTAATAGTCGACACATGCTGCTTCTATGATAAACAAACAGCCCATAAGTCAATAAAGGCTACCTGAAAAGTAAGTCTAGACCAAACCACCCACTATTATGTCCAACCAATTCAGTACCGATACGTATCGTAGACCTCGCCTCTCTTTACGTCCAACTGAAAGTGGATTTGTCTCGAAAACATTGTTCATTATTATACTCGACACAACGAGCTTCATAGTCATCGGTCATGTTAAACGAACATCAGTGATTGATCGCTATTCTAACATCAATAATCGTTTATAATTCTTTATCAATAAACTAGAAAATAAACAACAGAATCAAATACTTGTGCTGCTAATTTTCACTACGGTTATGTCAAACTATATATTAATAAAGATGTTTATAACTTATCTCAAATCAAAAAGTATGATAATTATTCATTAATCAAAAGGCTCTCTAGATGTAATGTTAGTTTTGGTTAGACGATTTCGTCAAACAAAATTTGCACTATACCATAACCAAAACCGTTAATTTATTGAGTAAACATGATATTGAAAAGGCTTTTAATAGTTAGTTCAATGGAGTACTATTACGTGTAAACAATCATGGGATAATTAATGAAAACTATTGATCAAATAAAATATTGATTACCTAATGAAAAATTTCCGGTTAGCAATTGGATTATTGTGAATTAAAAATTATTCACTAGGTAGTTTATTTCTATTAGATTGATTTTCTTTGAAACCTCATTGCTTTTAGGATGCCCTTAGTATCAAGTAATATATAAAACAGGATGTGGGTGTGGTGTTTCACGATATTCACATCGAAATTTATACCCTCAACTACATTTCCTACCACTGTTTGTAATGATTCATACGATAGTACACAATTGAACACGTTATATTTCCTCAGCATAGTAATCTTGCCAACAGATTAAAAATTGTGAACATGATAGCTTGCTCATCATCAGAGTTTGATAAGACTAGAAAATATTGAAAAGCATTCGTCTTCATAGGCCTGTTTGATTTTCAGATACTAACCTCTTATGTTAAGAACAATATCTGTACATCACATGTTGCCCTTGACTTTGTATAATTGAATCCTCTCAAAAAATAAACTTTTCTTTGAAATACTAACAGATAATAATGCATCTATCAGTGCTAAGTGCTTTAGTCCCATCCCATAAAGAGATGAATTTTTATAGAAAAATCTTTTTCGGGTATTACCTTCAATGTGAAATGTACCTATTGATTTAATATTTTCATTAAATAGACATATGTATTTTTCTGAATGTTTTAATTTTATTGAATATGTAGATGATAATCACATGTATGTTCGATAATTGTTGATACATCTAATAAATGATGTGTAAATTAAATAGATAATTCATTTATTTTTATAGTAGCATTCGTTTCAAGATTAGTTTTATTTATATGATATGTATATTTTCCTTGATTATTGCGTTTCATAATTCACTGATCATTGTTGACAACAATAGAATCATGTGAAATGATTCATATCTAACTAGCTAGGCTTACTGTCAACAAAGAAGTCTTTAAATGATTCATGTTCAGTGGTCGTTTTGTTTTTGAGTTATAACTGTTTCAATAAGTCTTCCTAAATAAAATCATTTAGAATCAATTTATACTTTGCACAAATAAAATTATATCGGTATTTTTCCCCTTTTACTTTTGCTCTCTTTATGAATCATAAGACAACAATTGTGCACAGGGACACTGACACACATAAACAAGTATGGGCATGTTTACTGAAAAATACGTTAAGAAGAGAAGAAATATGATTCTTAACGTAAGTATTTTACCTGAATGTAATTTTATTCACCTGTAAATATACTATATTGGCAAAAAGTAATCAATTGGCTATGGTGAGTGTCTTGGCAATTATATGAAAAAGGTAAGAAAAAATGACAGGTGATATAGTTGTATGTGCTCGTATAGTTTTCTTTTCATAATGATCGTTCTTCATTCCTTTACATATAAACACTTTAATTGGATGACATTGAAGTTTATTGCAGATTCTATAGATGTACAAAGCTTTTGATAAAAACATTAGAGTAAATTATCAAACCAAAATAAGTGTATGACATTTATCACATGTATCGGACGTTTTATTCTAATAGCAGCAGGTAAATATAAACAGATTGCTCACATTGTTTTTGATAGTCTTGTCCACTTTTCTCTATTCATATAAAACCTGGGATGTTTCTTATTTCGATGTGGTTGAATAGAACATGAATTATTCTATCAACATATATATTTTTTTGTTTTATTTATTTTACATCTTTTCCAAAAAAAATGAATAAATTTCAAGAAGCACTGAATGGAAACTATTAAACATTTGTATTTCAATTCAAACAAATTTATTAATGATAAAGATTATTTTAGATGGAAGAAGTACATCAAACTAAAATGTGCAGAATATATGGGTGTGAATAAGTTAATCATAGCTGATGAAATCTGAATGAAAATTAGAAAGCTGAAAAATAAATTTGTTTTTTCTATTTATGAAATGATATCCTAATTCTTTTCATAAGATAAAATTTGTTGATATAAACAGTATAATTAGTTTCGAAAAAATACACTTGTACATTCTGATTGCGAAATGTTTCTCAGAATCTCTTTAATTGAGACACAAGCTATTCTTTTATCCATTTTGAAGATTCGACTTTTTAGATAGTTAATCGTATGTACTTGTTTTTCATTTATATTTTTTTCAATCATGCAAGGAACTGAATGTTGATATAGTGTAATCGTTTGACAAATATCAATTTACCTTTGCTGCTAGTATATTTGATGTAGTTGTTCTTTCCTTGCCATTTAATATCTCGAACAATCTAATGGTTCGAATAATATATGCTTTTGAAATCTCTTCTGATCTGATTCTAATGGAATTTTTAAAGCATCGAGTAGTTAGGTATTTTGTCGGATCCAAGAAATAAACAATCTTGAATTCGTCGATTTTGTTAAGTAAATATAGATGTTTATAAAAAGCCTTTTTTTAAATGGTTACACACATTTTTTTCACTTGTCTTTCACGAGAAACAACAATAAATCGCTACTATTGAATAGAAATAATTTTTAGAAAAATTTCAATAACTAATATAAATGGAGTATATGCGAACTTCACCTCGTCGAAGATATGAAATAACATTTGAGGCTATTGTTGACTGGTCGAATACATTTTGTTTTGACATATTCTTGAGACAGATTTTGTTCTCTTTTTTGTCGTATTTTGATCGAAACCAGCATAAATATATGCATTTGTATTTTAGATGACTCAATTAATTCTATTGTGTTTATCATGTTTCCTTTTGGTTTGGATTATTACAAGTCCTGCTACTGCAATTGTTGGTCTTCAAACTCAGAAAGGAATTATATATGGTCGAGAAACTCAATATTCTATTGAATACTTAGGGTCAGATCAAAAAGAATCAATTTAGAAATATTCAGTAGATAAAGTTAACGACGATTATAGGGTCTCTCGAACATGAGTCAGCAAAATAACAATTAAAGAAAAATGCTTCTTTTTCTTATTAAGAAAATATGACAAAAGACGATTCTGCATGCTATCGACAATTTATGACGTACGAGAAAAGAAGTTTTTTCAGATCGTTATACGCACTCAATTTTCTAGTTTTCATTTAATACGATAGATTTTTTTTTTCTAGTGATAGAAATTAACGTAAAGCGAGAACCTTCACCTAGAAGAGATAGAGATTTAGTTCCTGAACTTCTCGGCAGATGGTCTGCAAAAAAGAGATTTATAATATGTAAATTAAATCAATCTTGTCGAAGGTGACAAAACTTTCACATGATAGGTTAAAAAATAACCAGTAATCTAAAGAAATAAAATCTTTTCGTTTGCTAAATTTTACTTTAAATAGTTAGAAACATACGATCATAGAAGGAGAAATCAAAATTGTCGTCGCTGGCTTCAGTGCAACGATTTGAACGTTTCATAGGTATCAAGAAAACATATTATGCAACATCAGTAAAAAAATATATTTTACCGAACTCCTATTTAGGACACGAACCTTTATTCAAGATATTGTGTGACACAAGTACAATTCAGTAAAACCTTTTTTCTTTAGAATAGTTCGTGAATATGGCTTTTTGAAAATTGCAAAATTCTAGAATTTTTGTATTGAGATCAAAAGATGACATTTTAGTGATATTAATGAGCTTTTCCGTTATGAATAAAAATTTTTCTCTCATAATAATAATTCTTTTAAAATAGAATTCAATATGCTAAAATAAATCGATGGAAACCACCGATTGATCTTGCATCTGATATGTTTCCAAATGGTTCATTTAAAGCCACTTCATTTGGTCCATGTTGTCCTCAAGCGAATAGCGGATTATACATTCCTATGCAAGATGAACAATGTCTCTATCTAAATATCTTTACACCAATAGTCAAATTCAATCAATCATTAGTACCAGTACTCGTTTGGATTCATGGTGGTGGTCTACAAACTGGTTGTTCATCTCAAAGCATTCCATTATTATATAACGGTACAAATATTATTGCAAATTCACCTCAACAACAACCGGTTATTATTGTAACAATTAATTATCGATTAGGTGTCTTAGGTGATATGTATTTGACTCAACTAATTCAAGAAAATCCAGTAGAATGGCCAACAGCTGGCAATTATTATTATCTTGATATGATATCTGCGTTACGTTGGATAAATAAAAATATTATTGATTATGGTGGTAATCCCAATAATGTTTTATTATTTGGAGAAAGTTCAGGAGCAAATGCTGTTGTTGATATTGGTGCATTAAGAGGCTCATCCAATATCTATCAACATGTTATATCACAATCAGGTGGAGCTGGTAATTATCTCTATTATACGAATAAGAGTAATGCTCTTTATGTATCTAATAAAATTGTTCAACAAATGAACTGTACAAATGAAAATAGTCAAATGATGCTTGCATGTTTACGTAATTGTTCTATTGAAAATTTAATCACAGCTTATGGTTTTCATCAAACAAAGCCAATTATTGATGATTATTTTTTTCCATTTTATCCACCTTTAGCAATTCAAAATGGAAAATATAATCAAAATCTAACTATAATTATGGGTAATAATGATGATGAATATCCCGCATGCTTTGGTTTTCCTGACATGAATTCAACAGATGCTGTATCAATGTTAACTGTACCTATAGGTGAAAAATGGGCACCGATAGTTGCCGATTATTATCAATTACATAATTGTTCATCTAATAGAAATGCTATAAATCGCTGTTGTAATATAGTTCGTTTATTATCCATGGATAAAATGTTTGATTGTAATGTTCGTCGTATGTACAACAATTTATACTTAAAATATGGTCAACAAAAAAATTTGTTTTGGTATCATTTCAATTGTAATCCAGGAATATGTCCTCAATTATCAATGGAAGAAGGTGGTGCTGTATGTGTTCATACAGCAGAAATTGCATACGTTTTTGGAACTGTAAGTTCTTATAGTTCGATAAATTTGCTTAATTGTACATGGGATAATCAATCACAAATATTTTCCAATCAAGTCATTTCACATTGGATCAGCACAGCTACAACAGGAAAACCATTGGAACAATGGTCTTATTATGATTCATCGATACCAAAATATTTTTATATTACACCTTATCAAGATTTTTCAACTATATTATGGAATGGAAGTTGTTCAATTTTTGATCAAATGGAACGAGAGGGAATATCTTTAATGTTTGGAAGTAACGATGCATGCAACTATAAAAATACATATACTATTTTATTTTTCATCATATTATTTTCGATCTTGACAACTGGAAGTATCCATCACTATTTCTAAGATTCAAACTGCTTTCAAAGACCGTTTTTTTCTAAGTTACTAAATAAAACTTTGTGGAAATGAGTGAAAAACGAGTATTATCATTTTTCAGAGAATACAGCATAATTGCCCTCGAGATATTGATGATAACATTGTGAATCTCATTCTTTGTCAAATACATCTGACGAGAGAAGATCCTCAAATATGACGCATTGTTTTGAGTCGCAAGTATCTCAATTTGTAGAGCTCGACAAGCTGATTCTAATGGCATAAAGCGTTCTTTCCCATGGGACTTTAAATTAGACAAAATCAATCAATTCTATTTGTGAGAGCCTAATATATTCAAGTGCATGATCTTGCTTTTTTCTCAGATCATAAGAATGTCCTCTCTTTTTCTTTAATGTTGTTATTATGAGTATGTATTAAATTCTAGCGTCTTGAATGTGATCTCGCACAAGTAGAATTGATTGATTTTGTCTAATTTAAAATTTCATGAAGAAGAACGCTCTATGTCATTAGAGCCAGCTCGTCGAGCTCTACAAACTGAAATACCTTTGATTCTAAACGACGCGTCAGACTTGGAGATCTTTACTCGTAAATTGAAAAATTCGATAGTTAAATCTACACATTGTTGGTGTCTGCACCGCTTTTCAAAGCTTTTCTTTTGAAATGTCGAAAACACAAGAAAAAGTTGCTACTCAGCTTTGAGATAGACTGATAGTGAAAAACAGTCTTCTAACAAGACCCCCGAAAACTCTATGAGATAGTGATTATAACCTGCGTTTAGAAAATTTTCAGAGATAAATATGAGTCAATTTCTTTTCCGTTAGCTGAAAGAAAGCGAACGGTTATGGCATCGTTGTGGTTGTGGACGAGAGTGTGAGTGTGGGTGAAGACAAAATTCACATCCACATCCTAAGTGGCAGTGAGGATCAAATAAGCTGTAAATGTCTCAGTAAGAGTTTATATACTACGTCACTTGTTCCGTATATTTCGACGTGTAAATTTTAGACTTCGGCAGAAAATAATTGTAAATGAATGTTGCTCCAGCTAAGGTAGGTGTGCATGTGGGTATCAAAAGAACAATACGCCCATACTCACACCCACATTCCACATCCCTTAATTCAATTTTCTCTTTTAAATCAATCATACTTGGCGTTGGTTGAGTATTTGTACGAGCAGAATCTTGTTGAAATGAGTTATTATAATCACGTGGAATATTAGCATTAGATTGCAAACCAAAAAAAATCAGTATTAGGATATGTTGCACGATCATTTCGATGCATTTCTTCTTTTGTCACAATATTGATTACATGTGCCCTATTTCTTTTCTTCTCTTCCATAATCAGTTGCGCAGTAAAGAAAGAAAGCTTGCTAGCGCAGCTCCAAAGGGGCTGAAATGTGGAACTCACGCATATTCTTCAGCTTCATTATACTAATGTGAAATATAGATAGTATAAAATCACGATTTTTTTAATTTTCTGACAGGAGTCCTTATTTTTCGTTTTCTTTGTTGCTATGCGCTCAGTAGTTTTCATTTTTAACACTTCTTTTTTCTTTAATTTTACATTTTTATTATAAGAAGCATTGAATTATATGGCGAATGAAACTGTTATATACAGATATGTATATGTATATGGGATATTATTAAGCGGTCAGTAAAATAAATGAAATGGTCAGTAAAATATATGAAATGATCAGTAAGATAAATGGTCAGTAAAAAATGTATAAATGATCAGTAAAAAGATTAAATGGTCAGTACTTAGATTATCACTCATATAAAAGAAAAGATTGGAAAAAATCTGATTTTAATCGATTTTTTTGTGATTAAAAATCGATTAAAATGGGACAGTTTTAACCAGATTTTTAATCAAACTAGTGATTAAAATAAATTAAATTTATAAATATCCATTTTAACCGATTAAAATTTTTTCATTGACTATTTTACTCAATTTTAGTCAGATTATTCGTTTTTTTAATCTATTAAAATCGATTAAAATTTTTAAATCGATTTTAATCAATTCTAATAGTTTTTCTTTTTAAATGAATAAGTACCAATTAATATCGAGTCTTGAAGCATGGAATTTATGTCAAAGGTCGATCTAGCATCATATCTACTAATTTTCCGAGGCAAGGAGTCTGAAAAAGCGATCGAACATCTGAGTTTTCAACATAAAGTTTGAGAAAACGCATTTTACCGTCGGGACCATTAAAATTAATATTTATAAATTTAATTTATTTTAATCACTGGTTTGATTTAAAAAATCGATTAAAATTAGATTTTTTCCAATCTTTTTTTTATATGAGTGATAGTCTAAGTACTGACCATTCAATCTTTTTACTGATCATTTATATACTTTTTACTGACCATTTATCTTACTGACCATTTCATCTATTTTACTGATCATTTAATTTATTTTACTGCCCGCTTAAATAGTAGCCTATGTATATCCATTATTTTAAACCTGGTTGCTAAGGTCTGTAATGGGGTCTGTCTGTAAGGGGCGGGCGAAGAGTCGCGAAACCTTGACCTTAAAACTTACACTCACTATTTTATTCGAAAATATACGTAAGTTCCACAAAATCAATCGAATTCTTTGATTTGGACATACTTCGTCATCACGTGTTCCATGCAATGACGAATGATTAGAAGTTTATACTAGTGCACGCAATGCAGCTATTATAAGTTTTGACTTTTTTATTGTAAATTGAGATGAAAAAGTTTCGTTTTTTTTTGGGTTCGTCACTTTAAGTTATGTCAAAGGCAATTAATGAATGGAACATCAATGGCACCACCAAATGGTACTGGTATATTGATACAATTTAGCTTTTTAGTTTTAAAAAGATTTTTTTTCGTTTTGTTTGTTGAAATCTTTTGTTATGTGCATTCAACCAAGAATAAATAGACTATAATCCATTTTTAATTCGCTGTGCATTAATGAGTACAGCACAAAAATTAAATAAAGAATTTTCAATTGATGTTGATCTTTTACCAATTCATAAAGCTTTAAGTTATATTCGTTCGTTAGCTAAACTGTTATTAATATCAAAAATTCAATTTGATATGACAGGTGGGCAGAGAAGAACAATTTATCAAAAAGAATTGGGGGTGGGTGCGAGTAGATTGTTCTTTTCTTCAGCAATATCCACACCCACTCACACTTCTAACAATTTTATTGAAGGAATTCAGTCGTCATATTATTGTTTTCTAGTTTATTGTTTTAACTTATTTATCCTTATAGTTGTGCGTCGTCGTGAGCGCAATCTGAATCGGTTGGTTCAATTTGACTTTTGTATTTCATCATTTAGTTATATTTGTAGTGATCGTAAAGTTCATCGAAAAAATAGTCTAATTTATTGTGCTTCTTTTCGTTTAATCGCATCAATACTTTAACTGCTTTTTAACAAAGAAACGGAAGAATATAGTTTAATTTATTTCTTTTTTTTATTTTACTTATTCCAATAGTCATCAGAGATTTTATAGAAGCAAAAGAATGAAAAAAATAACGTTTCTCTTTCCTTCTTATAATTGTTTGTTCCGTGTATTGCTCGTCATTTTTCTGAGAAAAATAGCTAACAGTGAGTGAGAGGAAGCTAGTTTAGTTTACTTCTTTACTATTTTATTTCTTCCGATGATTGCCCGAGATTTTACAGAAGCAATAGGATGGAAAAACACTTTTTTTTTCCTTTTTTTCAGTTGGTTATTCCGTGTATTTCTTGTCATTTTTACGAGAAAAACACCAAAAGGTTAGTTTCATTTAATTTTACTTTTTATTATTAAGATATTGTGAAGGTGATCGTGCGGATTATAAAAAAGAACAATCTAATAGCTTAATTCTGTGTTCTTTTCTAATCACCATGTCATTATTTTGTGCTTTTGTTCTGATAGAAACGGAGAGGGTATATTTGTTTTCGTTGCCTTTGTGCAATTATCCTACGAGCTTTTCCGCATTTTATAATGGAAATTTAATTCTGACTGAGAACCACATCTATATCTTTTGTTTTCAAATTATATGTACACAGTTGTATTTTTTTTAAGATTTTTTTTTAATATCATTTTGGAAAAAATCACGACAGAGTCAAAGGAAATTGATAATCGTTCTACTACGGGTAACGCGAAATCGATGTTCTGATATCTAAGGCCAACATTCTATTTTAATATAGAACTTTTTATCTAAATTTAGAAAACAAAATAAGACTTTCTACTTGTACTTTTCGACAAATGTTACTCTTACTCCACAAGTTGACAGTTGAATATGAAAGATCGTTCTTCTTTCTCTTTTTTCTTCAAGTTACCATACAGCGAAGCGGCATAAATGCCTCACCACCAAAGAGTTAAAGATACATTAGGTTATAATAATAAATATAGTTGATGTGAGTATAGATGGATTGCATATCTACAGCTACACTATTCGATCGTTGTCGAGCATTATATTGAAGGGTGGATGTGTGATGTGTATGTGAGTGCGGGTGCGGGTGCGGGATGTAGGTGCCGGTGTGGCTGTTGGCATGAAGGTTTGGTTTAAAAGGGAAAACCCACGCCCACACACCTCACTGACATCCACATCCCACTGACACTCATTTTTAAATAAAAATTCTTATCATAAGTGTAAAGAAATAAAAACTAAGAAAACAGTATACAATACAATAAAATAACCTAAAGGTATTAAATATAGGCTTGCTTATTTTATTAGTTAGAAATATTGAAAAATAAAGTCTCAAATAGACGACTATACACTCACACCATCTCTAAAACATGGACGACCTAGAAGATAAAATAAAACTTTCTATTCGATCAAATAAAGATAAAAACACAATACTATGCAGGTATATAGGGATATGTGAGTGGGGTTGGGTGTGGATGTGGGTGAGTGTGAAGAGTATGCGGGTGTGTGTGTCAATGTGAAGAAGAAAACATCCACACTTATACCCATATTCCCACACCCACGTCCATATCCTCACATCCACACCTAAGACTAAACGTTATTCTTCTGAGTAGATTATGGTGTCGATTCTTAAGCAACTGTATATTTGTCTTATAAATTAAGTAATATACCATCGTCATTAAGCATTCAAGTCTTTATATGTCCTATTATCATTACACTAGATTTGTTCGAAAACAAAATGTTCAAAGTATATAAAGATGAATGTGTACGATTGTGTCAACTCGATATCATCTGCGCATGACAATATCTTCCGTAAGATTTTACTTTGACGATTTTGATGTATATATACATGAGTATAGTTCATAATACGCACCAAAATAAAAATTCATATGATTTTTTTCTACTACCTTTTGCTTGTCGATATCATCTCATGTATAGATATGTTTTGATATTACTTCATATGAAATATTCACTGTACAGAAGTCA